ACCTCAGAACTAGTCCAGTCTGGTTCAATTCTGTCAGTAACCACATTGAACAAAATGGTGGGTTGTGATGGACCTCAGGTTGCAGGTCATGTAACCTGAGCACGCCCAGATGAACCAAGCGTATCCAATTTGGGACCCCAGAGCTGGCCAGAATGAAAGTCAACCACAGGCAGAACCTAAGCGCTTGGACCAAGGAACTGGGACCACATTAAGACAGAGAGGTGCCCTGATTTGTTGTAGTACAGACTTAAGAGCCAAAGACCTATCACTGCCACTTTGCGTGACCCATTCAGATTATACATTGCTGCATTTTCCTATCTCTCTTACGGTTACTTCTCAGCCTATAAAACCTGCCCCCAGACCGACCCAACTCAGGGAGACAGATTTGAGCGTTGCCTTCTGTCTCCTTGCCAGTCGACTCCCAATAAAGCTTTCTCTTTTCTCAAATGCCAGTGCCACAATACGGGCTTCTGCGTGCATCAGGCAGCGAGCCCACTGCTGGGTAACGCCCCCAGAAGCCGACACTGAGATGAGGATTTGTTCTCAGGAGGTGATCTCAATAAGCACCTGGCCGCTTTGTTCTAAACCTTTTTGGATTGTAGGTCCAATCCTCAAGGTTCATTTGCAAAGCCCTTCCCAAAACCTTTACGCCAATCTGCAACATCGCTTGCTCCAAGTCTCTGACTTTCTAGCCAGTGATTGGTTACAGATCCTGACCTCAGGTCATGTTTCCCTCAAGTCAAAGTACATGATAAAAGGCATTGCTTGAAATCTTGCCTACGAATTGAGATTTGTCCTCCACTGTCCTTCAAGACAACCCCAATAGGGGCTGTGATATATAACAGCACATTTCCAGCTGATAGTGCAGACTGTTCACAGCACCAAAAGCTCGGCTTGCTTTTCTTCATTCTCAGCTAGTTGGACAATAATTCTCCACAGGGACAGAGGGACAGGTTGGTAGGAGCAAGGTGTGGGAATAAGGTAGTGAAAGGCACTGAGTGGGGAGAAGTCTGCTCTTACAAACTAAACGCGCCTTCACGGCCTGCTCTGGTCCCATGCGCCAGGTGATGAAGTGTTCCTGGAAATGGTCGACTTTGTGAGTAGGTGGATTAGATAGCACTTGGTATCCCATAGCCCCCAACATTCCCAGTAGCAAATTGAAGCTGTTTCTCAAAAGCAGAAAAGTACTTTCACTGCAGGGGGTCTGACCTTGCTCCAAAATCTGTGGGCTTCCCATTGTGATTCTCCTGGAGAGACACATCTCTGACTTCAGTAAGTCTCCCCATCTGCCAGACACTTGGAGAGGGCTGAGCTGCAGAGCAGCTCTGACTGCAGCCTGGGTAACCTAGAGGGACTGATTTTGCTCTGTCAGCTTTTCAGGTCACCTGGCAAATAAGTGCAAAACACCTGTATGGTATATGCTGTCTTGAAAATCCAGGGCACCACAAGGTATTGTGCATTTCTTAGCTGTAGAAGAGACAAGGTGTAGTAATTTGTCCTTAACACAGGAAGGGTTATCTCGAATCCTTGGGAATTTTACTAAGGACTCAAGTCCCTGTATTTCTATGAGATTCAGATTCCATCCTTTGACATATGTGTGTCTTACCAAGGTGTCTAGGATATCTGCTATTTCCTGCTCTGCATCAACAAAGTGGATTAATGTGACATCATACGGTTTGGTGAGGCATTAAATGTCCTCATGTACCAAATGACAAGTTGACATCCTTGGGACGGATTTGTAAAGCTATTTCTGTCCTTGCTAGGTAAAAAGAAACAACTGCTGGTGGACTCTACAAACCAAAATGGATAAAAATGAAGTGGTTAGACCAATGGTTACATTCCAAATGCTAGAGGCTGTATTAATTTGCTCCAATAAAGAGACCATTTCAGGAACAGCGGCTACAATTTGGAACTTAACCTCAGGATTAAGTTTTATTGTGGAGCCCACCATCATTCTCTAAGACTCATCAATCTCTCCCACTGGTCAACTGGAAGTACACTGTACATTTGGGGATAGGATAGGAATGATCACATTTGTATCATTCTACCCTTTGATGGTTGCACTGATCTCTGTAATTATCCCAAAGATACATTGCTTTTTTATGCATTATTTTGGTAGGGAAACGCTCCCATGACTTCCAGTGGCCCTTCTACCACAGGAACGCTCACTACTCAGGGCAGGGAGCCAGTGTTCAGATTCTGTAAAGAAGTCCATCCCATCTACACTTAGGAACTAAGGAATAAACCACGGGACAAGGGGAGTAGAGAGGGGTTCAGTATCCCAGGGGCTTGTAGGAGAATGAGGTCCAAACTCCATTTATCATCTGTCTCCCATAAGCCTCTATTCTGACCAGTGGGCCACAGTATTTTCAGTTCCCCCAAAGCTAGTGCTAACTTGGAGCAAGTAGACACTGATCCCTGAAACCTTTGGACATTTCTTTATCAGGTACACATCGCCTGAGAAAATGGCTGGGTGGAAGGGTCATAGTATAATACATAAATCTATTATCATAGCACAATTCTTTAGTCAAGGGTTCTGGTTCTGAGAATTAATTCAGGTCTAGGAATTAAGAGAGGCTGTGATCTAGTTTGATTCAAGTCTCTACCTAGACCTGTAAAGTTGTTTTTTTAAAAAAGAAAAATCAGATTAAGACCTAAGGTAGTTGCCTGTTGCTTTCATTCCTGGAGGCCCTAAGATTATTCAAGCACACTCCGAGATTGCTGCAGGTCAGATCATTTCCTAATTACCACCTCTTTCTACCTTCTCCCTCCCCATAAGGACCACAGAAATTTTGCTTCTAACAGGTGAACCTCCAGCATACCAGAAAAAACAGCAGCCAGGACAAAACTTCTACTTACTCACAAGTTTCCCTTGCCAATCGATTCCTAATGGCATGAAAAAGCAATGCTTTTGGCCAACAGAGGAATTAGTGAAGTGGTAGATGGACAGAGCATATGAAATCTGAAGCCAGCACAGGCCAGCTCTTTGTTTGGGTCTGTGCTGCATTAGTCAATCAGCAAACTGCAGACAGCTGTCCAAAACAGCACATTGACTACAGTATTTCCCAAAGGCATGGAATTCAACCTGATGCAACTAAGAAATGAGGCTGTGAGTAAACTGTGGTTTCTTATGATTGAGGAAGAGTTTCAAAAGAACTGGTTTTGGTGTGTTGATTTCTCTAGTTCAGTACTCACAATCTTTGCAGTATGCTACAAAGGGAATCACCAGGTAGGAGATAAAGAGGGAGCTTTTAAAAATTATTAATGCCTGGATACCACCCATAGAGATGCTGTACTATAATAATTGCCTGGGCTTCCAGATTTTAAAAAACCCAATATGCAGCCAACGGTAAGGACCATTGTTCTAGTTCCTTTCAGATGTCCCTATACCAACAGTCAGGACTTGACTATATCCCTTATTTTTCATATAAGAAACCAAGCAGATAAGCTAAGTCATATAACTGCCCTGAGTTTCACTCAATACCTTGAGATTTGAGAATCAAGGTTCATTCTCTCTCTTAAATTATTCAATACCCTTGGAAGCAACCACCTGACTCCATAATCCTAGCATTTTTTTCCCATCACTGTTAAATTATTCTATGGTGGCTGCTAATCAGTCTCCAAGAGCCTTATCCTCAGGGAGCTCAAGGACCCTGGAGACTAAAGGCAATAGCTTGATAAGCTGTTCGGTCACCGAAGCTGCTGGCTCTCCACCCAGATTATGAGGGATGTGGCACTGCCTTTCCCTCTACCCAAACACAACCATCAATTCCAAAGATTCCACGTTTCCTTGAGGGTCTTTTGCCTACAACCCATTGTCTGGTACTAATTTGGATATTAGTTAAAGGTATTTTTTGTTTGCAAGCAACAAAAAAAATCAGTGACCCCAGTTAGTTTAAAGAACTATGAAGATGGCCAGGCACAGTGGCTCACGCCTGTAATCCCAGCACTTTGTTAGGCCAAGGTGGGAGGACTGCTTGAGGCCAGGAGTTCAAGACCAGTCTGGATAACATAGCAAGACCCCATCTCTACAATAAATAAGAGAAAAGTAGCTGGGTATGGTGACATGCACCTGTAGTCCCAGCTACTTGAGAGGCCGAGGCAGGGGGATCCCCTGAGCCCAGGAGTTCAAGGCT